TAGACCCTAGGCTGGACCCAAGCACATGTAGGTTTCCCCATCGGCCCAACACTTGTTCACACACCCTAACACTAAAATCCCTCGACCGACACCCAACAGAGATTTAGCTTGACCTATCTGATTGGTTCTCCTTCCGCCTTAAATCTTGACAAACCTCGGAACCTAGTCACTTGGCCTGATGAAGTTTTTGTGTCAAAAGCAAAACGTTGCCCAGCAATAAATCTACCGATTGCCACCAAAGTTTTTCGAGAAAACTATTCATACATTGCCATAGTTCCCAGCAATAAATCTACCGATTGCCACCAAAGTTTTTCGAGAAAACTATTCATACATTTGCCATAGTTCTGCGACATCATACTACTGTGAATCTTACTTTGTTACATTTAAGTCAACCCGGTAATTTTTTGTTGTCTGTGACCAAAATGTCGCTTTTGGTTTGCTAGTCACAGTTCGTACCCAAATGCCAGGGGAACTGACTGCGTTACTTATAGTTACGTCGTTCAATGCCAGTCGGGAGTTGGTCGAATCCGAATTCTTTAGTAATGAATCTAGGGTGTATTAGTAGACATGAAAGAGCTTAAATGTGGATAATGTGGTACATACTACTACTTACCATACGATGCATTCCATAAGCGATCAATATATACGGTGGCACACAGTAGCAAGCAATAGAGAACGGAATCAGCTGAAACGAGAAGGTGGTTTTTGTTTGTCAATCAGCTGAGCGCACGGTTTACGGCGCTAAGCCGAGGAGAAACGCACAGTACGGAGGAAGACAAATAGTAGATAGGATAAGGAATCTCACTCGGCGGAAACGGTTGGAGACGGATGCCTAAAGAATATTTCCAGCCTAAACACACCAACAAGCTTCAACACACCGGTCGTTGCACTACTTGATGGGATGCGAACAAATGCTATTCCATACGCTAATTATTCAAACACACGTTCGAAAGGAATTCACACGCCAATGAAGACGCTACAGTAGAGGTGAAACTACAAACCTCAAGTTGACGAGGCAGAAAACCGCAGACATGTCCGCCACATGCGTAGTGCATGTGCCAGTAGATCCGGCACACCCTAGACTTCAGTTAATATCAGTGATTTGCACGGCATCCCAGATTTCAAACATCTTTTTGTCCACTTTTAGTTACTTCTAGTTACTCTAAAACAACCTTTGAGTGTGGTCGACTGGATGTGACACAATTCGGTTTTTAAAACATTTGGTTCAGCTTGCTTAGTGTGACATCAATTGATGGTAAACAAATGGTAACCGTGTTTGGCGAGCATAACGGATACCTAAATTTAGGATACGATTTATCATTCTTACATTGGCTGTTTTCGCGTAACCATAGCAACTGCGTGGTGTTAAAACAATGATGCTAGAGCTTGTCATTTGTAGCCAAAAACAATTCAAGTTCAATGCTTTCGCTGGGATTTCCATTGAATTTGTATCCACATCACGATATACATGTATATATAGCAACGTTAAAGAAACGCGTCATCAGTGTGGCGTAAATTCGGTTCAGGTGATCAGCTACAAACCATGTATCCGAGGTAATTTTGTTCCAGCTGTTACACTTTTAGTCGCTGGAAAGTGGGAGAGCAGACGAGGTATAGGCAAGCAATGAAGGCGATAGAATGATTGGTTAGTTTGGGAAGATCAATGGCTTCTCCCTGAAGGCGATGGACTGATTCATGGGTGCCACTGACTGTGTGAGTGATGAGTTAACCCCAGGGTATATATCCAAGGAGGCGGCAGTTTTAGACCCCAACTTAGTTTTTGGTGTGTTCCACGGAGCGCAAGGACCTCATCCATCGTGGACGATGGATGTTCCTGAAACCGTCTGGCGCACCTCAACGTTGTCAACCTGACGTTTCCTCAGACCCGGCTAAGGCTTCGGGGACGCCGGTGGCCAAACACTGACAGTTTTCATGCGTCCTCTGTGCTTGGAGGTCGAGTTTCTGGCCCATAAAGTGATATGCATAAAGTATTATGCAGTATGACCTTGGCAGGCAAACTCACTCTTAGGATCGGAGGTTGGCCAGAGGCACTCTGACCTGACCGATTCAATAAGTACTCTCAACTCCAACCAGCCCATCGGAAATTATACAACTGCCTAAGTAAACGAGCTGATCAGCGACACCGATTGGCTGATCTGTAAGCATGAGGGTGGGGCTCGGTCCCACTTAAGTTTGCAGCAGCATTTTACACTTAGGAATAATCTAAAGTGATTTCCTCTTTAAAGAGTATATGAACCAGCAATATCAGCCACATTCTCGGTGTCTGTGAGCAGAAGCCGCGGAAGCACTTCGAACCTGTTTTTTTCTTAGGCAGGCTTCACATTTTCAAGCCACACATCAGCAAAACAAGTTGTGTAATAGTGGTGTGTAAGGAGGCAACCTCGTCTCACACCACAGTCTCGGGATGTACATATGGTCGATGCATCCTCGACCAGGGCAAAAGCCACCTTAAGTCTCACCAGTTTGTCTCTCTCAGTGATCGCTCAACCTGTGTTAAAAAATACCGAGGGGAGCACTTCGTATATCATGGCTGCCGAGCTGACGATATGGTGGTTTTCACATGACGCTCTTGATCCGTGTTTTGAAGATCGAAGTGAAGACATGCATTCCACTGGCAGTCTATCTTGGTTCCAAGTCTGCCGGAGTAGGGTCATTAGACCGTTCACTAGGACCTCATGACCTTTGAAGAGTGTGGGGTCAACTGTCTTGTCGCACTGAAGGGTAGATATCTCATGCTGGATATCTGTTTCCTTCCTTCAGGCCAGCTAGGTTCTTCCAGCAGTTGTGCTGAGGGAGACGAGCTGAGCCGTTATTTGAATTGCTCAGACCATCCTCCAAGAAAAAAGTTTTGTTGGCGAATTTCAGTTTTGTTTTACTAACATTTGTCCGCTTTTGGCAGGTTGATCGGCTCAGCCACAGTATCGAGCAACCGTCGCATTCAGCGAAACCCTCCTGGGCATTTATAATTCACCAGTGTCCTGTCATTCCTAAAGTTCTTGACTATCCGGTGGCTGAGGGATCTTCGTGCGCCATCACAGTTGCTAATTTTGCCATTCTGGCAGCAAAAAGACTTGATCCCACTGTTTATTTATTCAAGTTAGGAGGCTTGACTAGAGAGATCTAAAAGCTGACGGCATAGCTTATCTAACCAATTTCCATTCAGCCTCCAACCAATCTTCATCTCCACACTTTTGTGTGCTTCCAGGAGCTTCTATCCAGATCACCTCCAAACTGCTGAGCTACTGAAACGTGTAGAACTTGGTAAACGGAGTTACTTCGCTCCGGCACATGTAATGCTATTGGAAAGTGGACTGCTGACCGATCCCGCATAATGACATGATCGGAGCTAGAAAGAACGGCAATTTCTAATTGAAGCTCTCCATCAGCCACGTGGTTCAACTGTGTCCAACAAAGTGGGGCATTATTACAGGACTCAATAAATCGAGACAATCTGGAATGCACTTACACGCTTTTAGCAAAACACAGAATACAGCACGAAGTTGATTCGAATAGACTTTGCAGTGTGACACGTTTTTTCTCTCTTTTCGTTTGGTCTCAGTTTTCCGGTTTCTTTTTTATCAACAGTGAAGAGAATGAACCCTGGAAATAGCGAATTCGCAATCTGATGCGTTAATCCTGCGGTGCAAAGTACCGGACGTTTTGTAAGAATCGAGATTCAGGGACTGTGCGTCCAAACGAGCGACCTCCTGGCCTAGTGTTCTGCAAACGGTTAATTCGGCTGTCTTGTTAGCTTACACCAGCAATAGTGTCGTGGGCTGTCGAAGAGTTTTCAGTAACATTGCGCGTAGTTCCCTTTATGAAAATATACTGCGATATCTCGAATATCGTGCCAACTGAATCATGAGGCGGCCTGTGTGCAGCACATTCAGTTGTAGAATATCATAGACAATGGATTCAGTCAAGTCTCTCGTAAAAACCAAATTGATTTGCAATTGAGTGTATTTCTCGAAAACAGTTCAGGTAGAAAACAAGGTTGACGGAAACTCGGGGACTGCGCCCACCTGATGAGCCCCAAGAAGGGCAAAACCGGTCGTGGGCTGTCGAAGAGTCTTCAGCAATCTCGTGAGTAGTTTCCCTTATGAAAACAGTGTTTTCACATCTTGGAGCTGCTCGACAGGCTACATGCATGCGTAAACGCAATCAAGTTTTATCCAATTTCGATATTTGGTGAAAAAAGAAACTGCTTTCATTTGTGATCAGACAGACCTGAACGATATCACAGCGAAAAAGCGAGGGGTCAAGTGTGGTGATCCAACTTTCTGAATATAACTTTCGGCAGGTCGTGTGTTACCAAGTCTCGGTGCATGATGTCCAACCGGGATTACGTCAGTCAACCTGTCACCTGATAAACCAATGTGTTTAGTTCTTTTCATCACACCAAATTGGACTCACGCTGATTCTTCCCAACTGGGTCACTTTCTCTCTTCAGAGTGAAGGCTTCTTATATCTAAGGCAGGCGTCCGGGGTGTGGGACACTTACTGGCCCACTATGCCACCCACTTCGAGCCTGCCAACCAGATGCATCGAAAGACAGACGAAGACCACTTGCGTAAGACAACAGAGGAGACAAGCCCATCAATTCATGTCAAACATAATTCAGTGCATCGCTAGTAAGACGTCATTTACGCGTATCTTCTTCATAGGACCAAAGAAACACCGGTTGCAACAAATGAAATTCCAAAATTGGCAAAAATCGATGGATTCTATCATCAGAACAAAACATACAGAAAATGAACTCTGGAAAATGCACACAGTTCGAACCAGAAGCGTGTTTATAAGGGAAGCTGATAGAAGATGGATAACTAAAAAACGAACAACAATGCAGTGAAATTTTGTTTCATTCACTCAGTTTATGACAGTTCAAAAGTCATGACTAGCGGTTAGTGGGCATCAGATTACAGATTCACAGCGTAATATGTCTTGCGCTCAGGTACATTTCGATCACATTTCGACCAATATTTCACTTGCGTTTCTATCGGAATAATTACCATGCTCGCAAAAGTTCGAATACCCATGTCAAATGTATAAAGAAGCACAGAGCAGTCACTGAATTGAAGTCACGTGATATCACGCTGGCGCATTACATGCATGTCAATCGCGCAAAACAGAACTGGAAAAATCAATATAAATGAATTTGGACATAATGTATGGAAGGTCAAGATATAACAATATGTAAATGGTCGTTGAGTATTTTCGCTGAGTTGGGCAATTTGTTTGCGAACATTTCATTACCAATCGGGCTAACATCATCGTTGCCTTGTTAAGGAGCGTAGAAATGGGTCAGTGGTTTTGGGCTTTCCATCAGCTCTCGGTAAACTTATGAGTAGCGCGTTCGCCAAGAACTATGAAAGGTGCTTCAAGGTGAATACGATGACTATTTTTCATCAGGTACTTGCTTACTACAACCCAAGGGCTACCAAACAACTGACTTCTGAGGCCACCTTAGACCCGCGATGCCTGGATCCGCAGACAAAATCTAATTGATGATTGAAGTTGGCCTCGGCTAGTAAGAGCAACGGAACTTTGCATCGCTCTGGCTTATGCTTCACCGGATGGAAACCAGAAGGTTCCAGTTACTGTCTAGACCAGTTTGTCTTTGTCTAGACCTACTCATCACCTATCTACGGGAACAGTACACGGTTGTTGACTTCCTCACATGCCTGAACCATTGACCGATTACCGGGCCAGTTGAGGTTGCGATGAATTTGTCTAGGGCATATTTGGATGGAGTCACATTTCGTCATTGAGTTCCCTCAAGGACTACAAACCCTAATTCCAGAGCAACCGACTGGCCTCAACTGGCTAGAGGTTCTGTAACAATTGATTCATACTTGAGAAGCCAATCTACGTTTCTCTTAAAGTGTGACTGAGAGACTCTTCTCTGTCAATGGCGACAAATTACCAGTCATAATTAGCAAGCAGGTTTCCAATCCGGGCTAACTTCATCCTTGGGTTGGTTTGAGTTTGACAACGTCTCTCGGTCGGTAGAGACTGTTTTTTCTTAGGAATGATCTTCCAATCGGCAACGTCACTCAGTTTGCTTCTTCACCAATACAAACTGTAGATGCCACTGGTTTGGTTGAGTCAGCATTTTCTAAAATAACCGCTGCGAAACGCCTGCGATTCGGTTTATGTAACAAACACTCATAGTTTATCGGGCGCCTCCACAGACACACTCATCTGCATACCAATCTAGGTTTCACGATATACTAAACCTAACCTCTCGTTTATGGTATTCTTCAACTGAATTTGTCGAAATCAGTCCGATGGGGTTCCAAGTATACCATAAGGTTGACGGAATCTCAGGGACTGCACCCACCTGATGAGCCCCAAGAAAAGTGAAACAGGCCATGGGCTGTCGAAGAGTTTTCAACAACCTGGTGAGTGGTTTCCCCTGGGAGAAAGGTGCTTCTAGTTGCCAGTGGTCAATGAACCGAAGGGAATGTCTTTGACACACACACACATTGGTGTTCGCCGGAGGGCAGCCGTTACAGAGGTGGCTCGGCATTTTTTCGAAATGCTTTGCAGTAGTTTTTTCTTGTTCGACTGAACGCAGACTTCCTGTTGAATTTCCTTTCTGTTAGTTTGGGATGAAGAGTGGGAAAGTACTCTCGACAATGGTTCACTTATGGTTGCGAATTATTAGTAGTGCACATCTTATGAAATTCCACGGGGTTTCAAATCCCTGACTCCCTGACTTGTAGTTTGAACATTTAACGGTTGGTCCATGAGGGGCTGAACGTGCGATGTGAGTAACTTTCACTTCGACAGAATATCATATGACTCATTCAATGACGGAACCCCAATCACGTGATCAAATATTGACTTGCCACCCGAGTGCAGTGGTTTGCGCAAGTTTATAAGAGTGGAGAAAGTCCGATGACCGGATGCAGTATGTGATGCCTCCGACAACTGTGTCAAAGAAATTCGGGCACCCTCTCTATATATAATGGTGTTATTCGACGGACGTTAGCATTGGAAGTCCTGAGCTTTCTAGTGTGCAACAATTTGGCAAACTGATACAGACTGGCAAGGATTCCACAAATGAAAGTCCACTGTTTCACCTCCCTGGTTTTCGTTATATCCTTTCTTTTCTGCAGTTTGCCCAGAGTAGCACTTATATGAACAGCTCTTCAGTTTTTGGTTGGTGAATAACTTATACGAAATTTTTACATTTGACAGTGTTTGTCTTCTAGAGTTTTTCATTCACGTGTAATCACTTTTGCTATTTTGGATGTTGTGAGGTTTCAATGTAAATTATGCGAACTAATGTAGCTGTGACGATAAAAAAATAAGTAAGGTACGCCATTTTTAACTTGTCAGGGCGTGACAACATTTACTTCATACTGAATTGATCCGTGAGTTGAATAATTTGGTAGCCACACAGCGATTGGTTGAAAATGGATGCATTTTACCTAGTCCTTCTAGGAGCGAAACCTGCAACATACATTTCGTTAAGTTGAAAACGTCACAAATCTTCAGCGAATATACCTCATTTGCACCAGGTGAGTCTCTCGAAAAAAACAAAGTAGTTTGCAACTGAGTGTATACTTTGATGTTTCCAGCCAATGGATTTCAAGTAGAACATAAGGTTGACGGAAACCCGGGGACTGCGCCTACCTGATGAGCCCCAAAAAGGGCGAAACCGGTCGTGGGCTGTCGACGGATTTTCAGCAACCTTATGAATAGTACATTGCAAATGATCACAAATGTTTCCTCAGAGTGTAGTATTGGGAATGCTTGGGATTCAATCTGTGAGCATCAAATGAGGCACTACCACACACAGTGTGACGGAGCGTCCCTTGGGCGTGAGTGAAATAAGACATGCCAACATTCAATGTTTCACATTGGCTGTATACACATCTAACGTAAGTTTGCTTTCGGGTATCAAAGTGTATCAGTTTTTGAAATTCAGCTTCGAAATTTTTGCCTCCCTTTGCAGCGTCTTTAGGAGAGCAAACTTCCCGCTTTCCCTGCTATAGAAACCATACGTTTTTAGCCAAAAAATGTTTTCCCACTGAATGAATAGTAGCTCCTAAGACCTACCTTCCGTGTCCCTTCTCGGATTTCATTTATGCCAACATTAAATTGCCGGTTTTGTGAGTAGGTTCGAACTCACTGGCTAATTGGTCTCTGGACTTTTGGTCAGTTTCCATGAGAGCATGCTTCACAAAGTGAACAATGGCCTGCCATGGTGAGGTTCGTCAAACCCACCTCACACTTAACAGGCTTTCGCTACTGCTAGCCTGGTCGAATGATTCCTCCAGCTTGAGGGTCATATTCATTAGCGAAATACACTCACTTGAATGCCTACTTGGTTTCGGCGGAAGACTCACCCAGCTGAATCTCTCATTTGTGAGTAGTGTAATATGCCATATTCATTGCTTATCAGAAAACCTGGCGAAGTAGATCACCGATGTAGCGTTATTCTGGCAAGTAATTCTTTTATATATTTTCCTATCTTTGTGCAGTGATCAGTTATAACAGCTTTTGTTGGTAGTGTGAGGAGAATTGAGTTTTTTGTGAAGAGTTCGTCCTGTAGGTGAAGCCAGTCTATGCTGAAAAGTCAAGAAGCACTGCACAGTTGCTTCATGCTGATTGGGAATCATCAGCAGCGTGCATCTCACGAAACTCTCGAATCCGCGACCTTCTGGTAAGTAGTGTGAGCGTTTGGCCACGAGCAGCTGATCAGCAGTGTGATTAACTCGCACTTAGACAACATATTAGCGTCGCTCATCCTTCAGTTACGGGATCCACATCACATGATCACACGGTCATCAGCATTTCTAAAGCCTACCAGGTTAATGTCTCTTTAGCTTTCCAAGCAAGACGCTGTTGTTTTTGCCTTTCTACACGAATGGACAAAGCAGCGTCCCTCGATACACGTTTCACTGAAACTTCATGTAAAAAACGAGACTCACAGTGAAGGTTTTAAAATTAGAGTGGTTATTTTCGACTTCAGAATGGACTATTTCAATTCGATGTACTTACTATTTTGGGAACAATAACCAAACGCTAGCATTTTGCAAACAACCCGCGGCGACGTGTAGACATTTTTTCTCAACCAAAATATTTTGGCACCGTGTGCTTCTCTTAATAACCTATCATCAAATATCTCGAAAATCCCTCATTTGTATATGGCTGAAATCTTCTCTCCTAACTGGGTGCGTTGCAATCGTGAATGTCGCAGTGGAGTCGTCCCATAGACAGTGTAATCAAGCCCGTCCAAAAAGCGAAACATAATTCAGGGCGTGGTCCCTGTATTCAGCTATTGGTATATTCTTGTTAGTATTGTTCAGATTCACACACCACACACACACCAAAATTATACGGATTCAGTGTGTCTTGCGAAAAAAAGGCAAAGGAGTTTGCCTGGATGGTGCGCGCAAAACATTCCGAATGAACTTTCTAGTAACTAACTGATAAAGAATACCGATGCCATTAAACATGTTTCTTCCGCCACTTATCGCTCCCATTCGGTTTAACTTCGCCCTAATGTCTTTGTTCGAAATCACCGAAGCGCAAACAAGTAGGAGTCGTGAATTAGTACAATTCTCATATCACACTGGTTTAACTAATCAGTGTCCTGCAAGTAGTCCGATTACATCGGTTGCTGCGAAAATCTCACGCGCTCCGGGAGTGAAATTCGACGTCGAATTGAAGTGAAAGGTCATGCATGCTAAAAGGCATCGAAACCAGAGCCAAATGGACCCACAAACATAGTTAGTGAAAGTACTTTGTCATGTTGCTTGAATATTCCCATGGTTTGAAAAATAACACAGTGACAAACATTAATGTTTTCGGGATCTCGTCATCAGGTCAGTACATATCTAATGGTTAAAATAGAAGCGAAAAATGAAATACGCCGCGAAGATTGGTTAGTGAAATGTAAAACGTGGAGACACGAACCGTTGGTTGTCTGCGCCTCCCCTCATGTCGCATCTAGTTAGATGCTGTGAGATAGTCAAGAGGGCCACTGAGTGACTTGGCCGGTTGATTCGTGTCACACGACCAAGGCAGACTCAGCGTTCGTACGAAACGTTTTTGACAGCATGACCGTTGGAAAGAAGCCTGTGTACTTCAGTTCGCCGTACATATATATATATATATATATATATGGAAATGGAATTCGTGAGCTCCGATAACTCACATGAAATGGGCACCAATATGCAGCAAAATGTGCATGCAACTCTTTAACGTTATAGAAATGCGAGAAACCAAAACTGCTAGGAGAAACTGATGAACGACGAATTCCAACTGAGTATTTTGGCATTTTTTTTATTTGTGGGGCGAGGTGGTTCAAAAGATTAGGGCGCGGATTTATTGACCGGAAGGTTCGTGGTTCGAACCCAACCTCCACCTCTCGACTTCTGCTGTCTAGGCTTTTGCAACCTGGCACTATCCCAGATCTCGTGCTTCCTTTGGGTGGCATGGCAGCTAGGCACCGAAAGGGTGCTTCAGCTGAAGGCTTTTTAAAATTTGTGATGCTTTACGGGAATACGCGCTCTCCGTACATCGAGCACAGTTTTTTCCGCTGCAAAAACTATAGCCCTTCTCGTCTACCACCAGATTACAAACCTCAGTGTGCTGTTTTAGAAGCCGACTAAACTCTGAGTTTATTTTGAGTAGAAAGAAGAAAAGACACAAATAATGTCTAAGCAAGTTAGGAGCGCTTGGCGCCTGGATTCGGTCCAAGCTAATGGTTTCTTGCGCATATGCATTTGTTTTGAAATTTCCCGCTGATGAAGAAATCTGCTCTGGATGTGAACAACTAAACCAAGAGGAAGCTCCAATGGAAACCAGCTTTTTGACTCACTGGCTAAGTACGATGAAAGTGGAATGTTCGCTTATGAAATTAAAAAGAATGTCAGGTTGACTTTCGGTAAAAAGTACTCGCGGTAATCCAGTCACCATCTTCAACCAGATAATGTAGTGGTTCAACGGTGATATTTTGCCGCCGTAAAATCACAGTTTATTTGAGGGCATTAATAAGATGTAAGGAATGAAAAAAATAGGTGCGGAAAGGACTTAGTTCTAGCCCAGCACAATCATTCCGAGGTGCATACACCTTCCGACAATTATTCAAGCAGTCTGAATAGAAACTAACAATAGGAACCTCACCGATGTCGGCTTGCGGCCAAATCTTGCAGCGCCTTCAAGTAGACGGAGTTGAGTTCATGTGGTTCGCATCCTAGAAGGCGAGTTGCACTGACAGCACTCAGACCTTTCATGATACTTCCATACTCCTCGGCCAAGTCAAACATTGGTTACCTCTCTGCTTTGATCACTCTCAATCGTGCATGTTAATCCGCATCCTCTTCGGCAAACGAATGTTTAGTATCCACAGAACATGGGCTAATCAGCGCAGCTCCTGGTGCTCGACATATTCGTGACATATTCTTCCCAGTTGCACAACCGACCACTCGATTTCTGAATGCTTAGTTACGGATTCACCGACGTCAGTCCACAGAAGCTAGGGTTCGGCGAGACAATGGTTGTCAAACACCTGAAAACGTCTTAGTTTCTCCGTTCAAATGGGCCACGCAACACAGACATACAAAAGAACACACCTTACTCTGGCCTGATATATAAGTCTCTTGAGGCAAGGATGCACTGATTTAATGACATCGGTGTCGCAAAGTAGCAAACGTGACCGGAGGCTTAGAGATCCGTGCACCGACCTGATGTGCCACACTGAAATCTAGACTAATTCAACTTCGAAGCTTGGTGGAACACTGCACAAATTCGGGCACATCTCCTTGGATTTTAAATGGCGAATTCATGACTACATGTCAGGAGCGTGACCCTACCCGTTATAGGTGAGAAATGCATGCTAAAGGATTGGAGTGACAGTTCATCCTAAAACATTTCCGCCTTCTTTCGTCTCGGAAGACAAGAACGATATCGTCGGCGTATCTCAGATTGACAAGGCTTACATCAGCATCTATCTGAACACCAGAATTTTGAAAGTCTTTTGGCATTTCTCTCATCACAAAATTAATTAAGAACAGGGAGAAGGGAAAACCCTAGCTGACATCACTTTGTGTACTGCAGATTTGGAGAGATCTCCGTATATTCTCACAGGTCAGGCCGTCTGGAAATTAAAAAAAGAATTTATCTTCACAAACTTCCGGGGTATTTCTTGTAGGTCAAGCATTTTCTGGAGAATAGACAATCCAGTCAATCAAACCGGATGCTCCTGCAAAATCCTGTACTACTAAATTGTATACGACCTTCTAGTACTTGATGGACTTGGTCATCGCAAACCCTACTGTGCCAGAATCCTGCTTGCTTTGCTCAAGTTAGTGTTTCACGAAATACCATAGGGTAAGACAGTACAAGTGACACTAATCGTCTCTTTACGATTCAGGTCAAGTTGATCCTCCACTGTGACTGCCGCAATTACTACGATGCAGTTTTTGGAAACGAGGCTTAACAATAATTCTGCTCAGTTGTCTAGGACAATATCCTTGTCCCAGATCCAGACAAACATGTGAAACAAGCGCTGACCGAGCACTGCACCCTTGGCTATGAACCATGCGAGTAAGAGGTCATCCGAACTTGAAATTCAGTCGCGCATAGAGTTAGTGCGAAGATGATTTGTTCCGAATGTTCTACAGAAATCTGTGGGTTTTCCCACATTTCTAAATTAATCTCAACTCTTCCATAATAGCTGATCAGCTCTTGCAGCAGGTAATTGTTCAAGAAAATAGAGGAGCATAACCCGTTTGAGCCGGGCAGTAGTGGCTTCCGTGACCGATGTGATGTTTCGTCATGAGTTTCATTCGAATACCGCCTTCCGAAAACTTTTCCAGGTGTGTACCTACCTACTATGATCCGTTTGTTATCAGTTTCTGGCTACAGCACAAGCAAATGCGATTCGCTCACAAATACCGAGTCTCTTCACTCCGGAAGCCCTTGTACGCATTTAAGCTTTCCAAGTTCTGCTCACGTGGCCGCTGACCACGTAGACCAACCGATCTTGACGTGGACAGTTTTAGCACTTTTACTCGAAGATTCCACTTTGCCTTCGTTTCACTCTTAAAGGTCGATCGCTCTTCAAACCTGTGTAGACGAGGAGATGACCTTCAGCGTCACTAGTGAATCGAGGATTCTTTGACTTTTGCATACTTCCCTCCACTTACTGAATGTGCGTCAGAAATACCGCAGTTGATGCCCGTAACCACTGTTAAAAAATCGACAGAATGACAAAACATCGAGTCACGTGGTTCACCAGAAGCGTCGAGCGCTGTTCTGCTGCTGATTCAAGAATGTTTGCCAAATGACAGAATTATTTTGAGTCCAGATGTTTCGATCTCAAATCCATTATTACCATCATTAATAACACAACTATTAAAGCGGCACCTGGGATGCTTACAGGCCTCGTGACAACAGTGTGCGCACGTGAGCATGCGATCGATTGCAGCGTGATCCGATTCCGTGCTTTCCATCCCGAGACTGATTCCGTGGAAGTACTAAACTACCACTTTCGTTTTCGATGCAGATGCACAGCTCAGTGTTCACCATGTTCTAGCTTCTATCGCTTCAAATATTATGAGGATATTTCTTCCGCGTGCTTACTGCACGCGAACTTCCTCTCGTTCAACCACTGCATGTACTAGCCTGATTTAAAAGACAGGTCTTGTAAGGCAGTGAATCGGTTAATGTCAGAGGCATGATGTGATCGGTAATCATGGTGAAGATACAGTGGCTGGTTTTTATCTTCCACTAGATATTCCGGTGACAAGTGCGCTGAACAGTGTCAGAATGTTTCCGTCCAAGATATGATCGACATCCTACTAGAACCAATCAAACTATGCTGTTTCGACCGCGCGGCACGCAAGTCTAACGCGCGTTTGACCAAGTGGTTCGGAAGACCATGTATGTTGTGACTGATAGACATGCTGGAAACACAAGCAAGCGCAGTCTCTTCCTGTTTTTATCGCTTCTTGTTTCGTTTCAAACACAGATACCATCTTTCGTGGTTTTTCTGCTTGTGCTGAACCAGTTCACGTGCGTGAGCACTTCGTTGATAACAGACTGCATGACTTCAAACGTTAAAGAATTGTTTGTAAAGGCATGCAAAATGTGAATGCACTTTCTCCAATTTCATGAGCAATCAATCAACTGTCTGTCCAGAAAAAAGGAAGTTTTCAGTCTGTGTTCGGTAGAACAGAAGCAAACTGTTTTTATGGCTTGATTAACCAGGTCCTGTCAAGCCACTAGGAACAAACTTCCGGTTACTCGCGATCTTGAACTTGGAGCGCGAATCTCCTAATGAAACCTTCTAAGAAAAGAGGCCACCACACCGAACGTTGGCAAACGCGTCTTCTACTGTGTATCCGCACAGTATCCTCATACTCAGATTTCTGTCATATCCAGCATTCATGTGAAATGTACGCGGTGTTCAGCGAGGATTTCAAACAAATGCGTACATCCAAGTTGCCGTCATTTAAGGAAATACTGGTACATTGTCTAAGATTTCCCTTTCATATCTGAGCGGGAATTCATGTGCCCCAACGATATTGATTCACCCCAAATGCACAATGTGTCGCCATATATCCAAGCATATTTTATTGGGTGGACTAACGTTTGGCTAACAGGCAGTGGAAATCAGAATATTCAAATGAATTTAATAAGTAGATAAATGAACAGACAATTTAACTAATTATGGGGCAAGAAAGTACTGAAAAGTAAAACGATCGTTCTGACGTGCATTTGGTAAATTTGCACCAAACATGGTACCGGCAAAATTTCACCTTATTTTACCGTATTTTCAAACCTAAGGACTTATGTTTGAGATCTTTAGCTTTTACACTATTGTGCGCCTTATGTAAAGTAAGCAAGGCGATCTTGTGGAGTCGTCCACTCTTTCAGTCCATTGTTCGCAGTGGATGACTTAGGGAGATTGATGGATGCACGCTTTTTTTGGAATATTTAACGACTACACCCATGAGCGCTGCACTCGAAGCGCTGCACACCTAAGGAAAGTGTACGGCTTACTTAAAGTCCTTAGGTCTAATTTATTCATTCGTCCGGTTCGCTGCCCGACGAGTGACGGAATGTGCAGCGGAAAAGCGAGAACCAGTGATGCACAGCATGTACGAAAAACCCAATTTCCTCAGCTTGATGGACGGCTACGGTCTGCCAAATAGAAAGTGTTCTCTCTGAATTTTTACAAGCAACCCTTCAAAGCACTGTCAGCAGCATTTGTCGGGATTTCCAAAGCGAACAAATCGAATTTTATGCTCAGAAACTGACTGCTCAGCAATTGCTAAAGACTCGCGCAAAGAAATATTCGTAAGCGCGGAAGCAACACAACGTTAATGTCATTGCTCAGGACTGCCTGACTGTTTGTGTTGAACAACAGAAGCACACATCAGCTATTCTACCTAACATTTGGAATTTTATATTCTACGTGTTGTCAAGCTG